TAAAGGTAAAGGATCACATAAAAAAAATATAATGATGTGACACATTCAAACTTTACCAGCAACAATGAAGTGGTATAGAAATGTGTTAGAAGAAACACCTTCAGTGACTGTCAAAAACATCTGCCCTGTAAAAAAGAATACCAAAGGACAATTTCCAGCAGAATTGGGTTCTTTCTGACTGATTATGAGATAGAATGATGACATATTTTACCATGTGTGGCTAACTTAAGATGTAAATAAACCAGTTTCTTGTGCCAGTGTTATATCCAGCTAGTTTATGTCTCTTAAAGAGGCTCTGCCATGACCGTTGATATCTAGAAGAGGTGAGGTTAATATCACCTTATAGCCTTCATCTGACTCCTGAGCTGGGTCCTAGTTCAGATTGAGATGGGTTGTGTGCTCTGAAATCCACATGTTACTTATATTTTAGACCATGGCCATTTCTAAGGAAAAATATTAGCCTTGACTTAGATATAAACCGTAACAACTGTCTCTGCACGGATGTAGTAGGAAAATTGTAATGGCATGGTAATTTGTTTACAGATTTTTTACTTTACAAACTGATCTATGTTTTTTAATTTGGTGTGTCCAATTTTTAATTTTCAAATAAATATTTAGGCCCCATTCACCTCTGTGTTTTAGCAGACACCAATGCATGTACACAGGTTAGCCATTGTTTTAAATGGTAATAGTTTGTGTGATGCGTTGACATGCATTGTTCATTTTGTGAGGCATCAATATGTGTTATAGGGCAATTGGTGACAATGGCTGCGCATGAAAATATATGATTGTTGATGTGCACATAAAACGCATGGAAATTAGTGAATCCAGTCTTCTGCAGGGTACATATGCTCTTATATACACACATTCTCAGAGCATGAAAGCCCAGCATTACCTGCATGCATGAAAGCAAATATAAAAAAAAATACATATACAACTATTAGTAACTAGTATAAAAAAATTAATATCTTATGCTGTTTTGTATAACAGATTAAATGGCAAACTAGCAGATTACTTTTTTACAGAAGCTTGGAACTGGAAAAAAGTCAAAAGTATACTGCTGTCAGTATTTGGCTGCAAAATGCACAGGAATTCACACAGAGAGCTAGATGGTGTTATTGATAGGTTTTTTTTTTGGGTTCTGCCATTGCTATTTCAGGGTTTGTGAGGATTACACTCAAAGTTGAGGCACAAAGTCCTTTTTCTTGGCTGATTATTCCATCCCATCCAAATCTTTTAAGGATTCCCAGTAAAAAAAAGCACAAGCGCAAATTTTTTAAAAAAGTAAGGCTCTAGGTTTTTTACCCCAGTGACTTTCTGGCTTCATCTTATTAGGAATATTTAACAAACCCTGGAGTTAAATGCCTCCCATCATACACTTTTCCAGACACCGTGTAACAGGTTATATATAAAATGTGTAGCCCTTCCTGTGGTATCCATGGTGGACACACATTTTAGAAGGGAATCTGTTTTTATCTTTCAATGGCAGCCATACATTATGCCACCCTTTGTACGTGTTGCATATATTTCTATTACAGGACTATATTCAAATGGAATTGTCAGTGAAGTAACCCATAGTAATCAGTTTCACAATTCATGGACGTTGAGCAGCCAGAACAATGAAACATGATTATTGACCGGTTGTTAATAGTAAGTACAGATTTGATGTTAGACAAACCCGGTGCCCTTTTCTGTAGATTATTATAACAATACTGTATAAATACAGAACATAGTTTGTTCTCATGGGAGGCTGACAAGACCAACAACATCTTATTCACTGCCTCTGGCCAAGGGAAGTGCTGCCTTCCCACAGGAGAATTGCTGTGGAAGCTACTTAACAAAATGTGGCATTCTTCACTGCTCCTAGCATGACCACATAAGCAGAGCACTCACACATATAAATACATATGCTCTTATATACACACATCCATTCACGTGCTTGCCTTTCAGTGGTGCTGGTACTTGCAATGACAACTCGGCAGTGTTCTGTTTAATTGCATGCCAAATACCTCTTGCTTGGGGGCATTTCCCATGGAGATGAAAAAGCCCTTGTTTCTACTTCCAAAACTGTTAACAGTTATGCTGTTAGTGACAACTTGGTTATGATTCAGCAATAAAGGATAATTGTTGCAAAACATCCAGAATTTAACAATTCCCCTACAGTATTACCTTACTGGGGATATTGGCCTTCCTATAGTTTATGTATTTATTATATTGGTGTGTACAAAACTAAACTTTTCTTTTTTCATTACTACTTTCTACCGATTTGACAGTGATGGACCTGTTACACAAAACAAGGCGTTCATTCAAATATACAGTATATGTGTCCATATATCAAGATTTGTGCTGTGGAGGAGCAGGATATGCTGACCATACACTGTGCAAATTTGCTCTGTTGGCACCCTTCCATCTGGCATCCTTCAATCAGAAAGTCAAAGGAGCTGTTCAGAAAGCCACTGTTCGGGTATTCTGATAGCGATACACCCACCTCTGTCAGAATTCAATATCTCAGCAGAGATTCGATCAACCACGCTGCTCAGCATGGATGGAGAATTCTGTTATATTATTTTTGTTCAGCCCACAGTATGAACAACAAAAATATAACAGTGTATGGCCAGCTAAAGCCCTCATTCACTTATTCATTCAGACATTTCATACCTGCACCAAATCCAAATGTTTTAATTCATGTATTTAAAAAAAAATCTTTAACCACTTACAGATAGGGTGTTTAATGTCAAGGCTATTTTTCAGTATTCAGCGATGCGGTACGCTGTACTGAAATTAAGTTTATATCATATTTTTGGGACTTATAGCTTTCTTTTGGTGGTATTTAATCACTACTGATGTTTTTGTTTTTTTTACTATATAATACAAAAATTACAGAAAATGTTATAAACATGTTATAATTTATTTTCCCTACGTTATGTTATGAAACATTTATTATCACCAAATTTTAAGATGGGATCATGTCGGGTAAATAGACACCAAACACGTCAAGCCTTAAAATTGCCAGCTCCTGCTCTGACGTTCACGATGGGCAGCGTAATGGGCGCAATTGTCATTTTCACACGTAGGCGCACCCGACGCATGTTTGTGTGTATCTGGGGGCGGGAGACTTAAAACATTTTTTGTGGTTTTAAACTTTTTTTTTATATGTGACTTTTTTTGTAACTCATTTTTTAAAACTTTTTTTCACTTAACTTTATTGCTATCATATAGGGGGATAACAAGCCCCCTATGTGATAGCCAATTTACAGTATCAGGTCCTCTTTATGGAGATATCAGGGGTCTCCTAGACCCCTAATGTCACCTAGGGACCCCCAGAGAAGCTGATGAAGCAGAGAGATCAGCTTCACTGGCTTCTCCCCTGCTTCTGTAGCCGGGAATGACACCTGAATGAGGAGAGACCGGAGATTAGATCGGGGGGAGATCATGTACTGATCTCCCTCTGATCTCTGGTGACAGAGCCGCCGGGCGCAGCGGAGCTCTTGATCTCACCCGCACGCATAATACAGGTGATCGGGCGTCTCTACAGACGGAACACTTGTATGTAATATAGCCATCGCTGGCTGTTTACATTTCAAACAGATTTGCCTCTCGTTTGCACCGCCTAGCGGCGGGCACGAGCAGTACAGGTAAGTACGTTTAACATTGCCCGTCTGCATTCAAGAAGCCACCGTCAGGCCGTTTAATTACAACAGCCGGATGACAGGTGGTTAAACTGCAGTCACATCAGAAGGCTTATTCTGAAAATTAAGCTTCCAGCCTGCATGTGATCATTATGCAAAAGTTGACTGATTGCTTCCTGATCATTAGTTGGGCGGGAGCTGTCAGTGACAGCTGGGTCTAATATGTAGCAGCTGCTACCTTTTAAAGGGGCAACATAGATTAATGTTCACTAAGCACAGGGCATTGCACAGGAGAATGTTAATCTACATTCAGGTGGGAATTGCTTAATTCCCCCCTCCCCAACAAGAACTTACCTATCCTATTACACATACTAACAACAACATACAAAGCAATCTACAGCTCTGCCCCCAGCTACTTCACCAACCTTATCTCATAATATCACCCAAACCATCCACTCCGCTGCTCTCAAGACTTCCTGCTCTCCAGCTCTCTCATCATCTCCTCCCATGCTCACCTCCACGACTTCTCTAACGTATCTTCTATCCTCATGAACTCCCCACCCCAATCTGTCCCCATATCTCCTACCTTGTCCACCATTAGGCAATCTTTAAAAACTGACCTCTTCAGGGAAGCCTATGCCACCTCAACATAATAACTGTCCTTTTACGTCTTCCACTAACTCAATCTACCAAATTATTACCTTTTGTATCACTTGCCCCTCCTACTAGATTGTAAGCTCTCATGAGCAGGGCCCTCCTGACGCTCCTGTATTGAATTATATTGTAGTTGTACTGTCTCCCTCCATTTTGTACAGCGCTGTGAAAACTGTTGGTGCTACAGTATATAAATTCTGTATAACAATATTAATCTCTCATTCCCTTGCTGCTCTATTCACCAGAGATAGCTGAAGGAAACACCTGGTAGTTTTGAGTATGGAGAAGGATGTGACTCACTTCATATGACAGTACTGGGCCAATCAGCTCTGTTACATGCGAAGTCCATAACCCTGTGTAAGCTATGACTCCTATTACTCATAGCTTAAATAGGACTTTTCTTTAGCTCCGGGCAGCTAAACAGAGCAGTAGGAAAATAAACAATGGGTGGGATTATGCTCCTAGGGAAGGCTAAAGCAAAGTGCATCTGCTGCTTTGCCTTGCATGGTCAAAGCACAGGTTTATTTCAAATACTTCAGGACCAACTATGCAGATCAGGACAGACAGAGTGAAGCCAGCACTCATAATTTGTATATTAGCTCTGAGAAAGTGATTCAGAAAGTAATAAAGCCATTAAATCAACATTACAGCCAGAGAACTTGTATTTTAACAAGGTGAAGAAAACAATGGCAGCCTCCATATGTCTTCAATGTAGACTTCCTTAAAAGACTAAATATATTGTAGACTACATAGAAAACTGAAACAATGGAATTGTCATCTTACCTTGTATTTGACTTTGAGCTTGGCTGCTGAATGGATTTGGGTTTGTCAGTGAGGGTCTTGGATTTGGGTTGGGCTGAACCCTTATACTTTGTCGCCGAATAAGCTCAAGCTCGCTATAGCGTTCTTGGAAATGCTTTCCTTGTTCTTCAAGTTTCTGCCGATGCCCTAAAACATACAGGAGTAAATAGCAATTTAATCAGATGCAAGAGGCTATAATATAAACAGTGGGAGAGGTAATAGAGACATAGCAATTCTGCAAGATATGTGCTTAATTATAAGTGACATCTGTAGAAGGGATGCAGCTCTTTTGGCTACAGTTGAAACCATTTTTTATGTGTAAAATTTTAACTGATATCTAATAGGATTATCAAATGAAACATGCACATAGGCATCTGCCCTGCATTTGAGGCAAATATGTGTTTACACTTTTATGTATTCATTGCCACATTTAAAAAATATGTGTAAGATAATGTTCTAATTACTTGCCTGGTTATTACTCATATAATTTATTACAATTTTGCATAATAAATGCTATCACATTGCTGGAAAAGTCTCCAAGGGTGACACAGACAAAAAGGCATACCATTGTCCTTCAGGTTGTCCTTAGGTATGGGGACTCACACCTCTCTATCTCTTTATAGTCCTGTACCCAACATTTTATGATTTCTGACTGATTTTTTGCTAGGAAATTCCTTAAAATCCTGTAATTGTTTTTAAATCTAAAAGTCCAATTAAAGTCTCACTCCTTTTTTTATCTCTTTATAGTCTTGTACCCAGCATTTTATCATTTGTGACTGATTTTTTTGCTGGGAAATTCCTTAAAATGCTGTCATTTTTGTAAAGCTTAAAGTCCAATTGAAGTCTCACACCTTTTTATCTCTTTATAGTCCTGTACCTGGCATTTTATGATTTTATGCTGTGAAATGCCTTCAAATGTTTCTCAGTAAAAGTGCTACTTCCAGCCATCACAGTGCTGTGCCCTGTGCTGGCAAGACGAGTTCAGTAACAGTCATAGTCACACCCTTAAGCAAAAGTGTCCTTACACAAACTTGTATTGCAGATAATGGGGGGGATGTCCAACCCAGTCTGTGTGAGATTTACTGGCTCTCACTCTTGTGCCTATTGGACTGCATGCAGCCACCATTACTGGGAAGTGGAGCTAGGACTTTGAAATGGGCATTGTCGGTAAGAATTGATTAGGGAGCAAACCAAAGGATGAATATATGAGGATAGTACTGGGCCTATACAGAGTGGGGGCTCTTGATGAGTTAAAGTAAGAGTGATAGCTAATTATGAAGTAATGAGAAATAGTTGTCAATTGGTTCTTGTAACTATACAGTTTTCCATCATGGACATATATAACACATTTAGAACATATTGTTTTTGTGGAGAATAGAATGAAACAAGCTACAGCTGGATTTGCACATATAAATGAAATAATAAGCACTTTAACTCTTTCGCTGCCACCAACATATCTCATACCTTGCTGGCAGCGGGCCCCTTGAAACAAACTCCCAGTGTTTACATGTGTAAAGCCAGAAGCGATTCTGGTAGCTGAGCTGCTGCCAAATAGCTTCCAGAGGGGCCGGTGTAGTGCGGACCGCCCCGCCCGTCACCCCCTGCCTTGTATCATCACATAGTTGGCCTCACTGGTGTCGGCGGTAACATATGTTTGCTGATCTCCTCCCTGCTGAATGGGGCCCGGAAGTGATGCAATAGCTTCTTCAAAGTGGAAAGGTGACAGTAGGGGTCTAATGTCATCCTAACAACTTCAGGACCACGCACCATCAAAAAACGTCCTGTCCTGCTGCAGCCATGTTCTTGGTATCGTTTTAAACAGCAGGTGATTGCTGTTCAGATACAAGCGATCACTTGTACGGTGTGGTGGAATGTGCTCTCCGCCACCAGCTTTCCCGGGCTCCGCTGTTCCTCGTGCTTCTTCTCTGACAGATAGGAGGGAGATCGGCAAGCTTCTGGCCACTGATCTCCTCCGATCACTGGACCCAGAAGTGATGTGTATTACATCACTTCCGGTGTCACTCTACATTCTCCGGCTCTTAGAGCCAGGAGAAGAAGTTGGTGAAGCAGATCTCGGCCTCATCAGTTTCTCTGGGGTCCTTAGGGGAGATTAGGGGTCTGAAAGACCCCTGATGTCTCCATAAAGAGGACCTGTCACATTATATTTGCTATTATATAGGTGGCTTGTTAGTCCCCATGTGAAAGAAATAAAGTTGAGTGTAAAAAAGAAAAATAAATAAAAAAATGAAAGTAACATATTAAAAAATTTAAATAATGCAAAACATTTTATTTTAAAGTCCTCGCCCCCAACGTGCATGCACATAGAATGCAAACATGCGCCAATGTGCAAAAACGAAAATTGCGCCACACGTTACATATTGTCGCAAACGTCGAAGTGAGAGTAATAATTCTAGGGCCATCAATCACTGTTAACAGTAAACCGATGAGCAGTAAAAGCTTTTAATGCGTCACCTATGGGAAATTATGGTTATTGTAGTTTTTTGGGGTTTCATGGGTGAACGCAATTTTAAAGCATGACATGGTTGGTATCTATTTACCCAGCCTGACCCCATCTTTTATATTTTACCAAAAAATATTTTGTTTCTGTGCACTAAATTTCATTTTAGTGTATTTAGTCCTAAAAATACTGGTTTGATAAACATTTGTGCAAATAAAAAAATTGCAACTGGCATTTTTTTTATTCTACAGGGCCTCTGCTTTTAGAAAATATATGATTTTTTGGGACTGAAGCTGTTCTCTTGCCAAAAATTCATTTTTTTTGTATGCTAGTGGTGACAGGGGCTTGTAAGCCCCCCTATGTAATAGCAATTAAATTAAGTAAAAATTAAAATTTAGAGGTAGAGCAATAATTCCAGGGACAATATGCATGGATATCTCTAAACCGATAACCTATAGGAGTTTTAAAAGCATCTTCTATGGACAATTTGGGGTACCGTATTTTGTCGCTCTTTCACGGACGCACGCAATCTTTAACCTGGACATTCTGGGTATCTATTTACTTGTCGTAACCTAATCCTTTGTATTAAAAAAAATAATGGGTATTATATTGTGTTTTTGGGCGCTAAAATTAACTTAAGTGTAATTTTCACTGCAACTTTGGGTTTGATAAAGAGTTGCGCTAATATCGTGCAAAGTACAAATTTGCAACTGTTACCATTATATTCTACAGGGTTTTGCTTTCAGAATATATAAAATGATTTGGGGTTTTAAATAATTTTCAGGTCTAAAATGTGGATTGTAATATGTGTGCAAAAAATGCCTTGGCAGCGAAAGTTTTAAAGCAAACCTGTGCTTTGTCCATGCTGGGTTCGCTTTAATTTGGCCACATCAGCAGCAGTGTTCTATCCCTTTGCTTCCCAGGGACAGAAATGCTGCATTTTAGCAATTAGGTTAGAAGCTTATGCTTAAAATATCTTGGGAGACTATCAATGTGTTTTTTTGAAAATACAGGTTAATCAGGGGTCAGGTTTTATGCATGATGCTGGGAAAATGTGGTAAATATAATATCATCTGCACATCTGAATATGAAACTGTAAGAACCAAAGTGTTATATAAAATATTACATGAGTGTAAAGAGGATTTTTAAAAATCCAAGAACTAAAGTAAACGTGCAAGGACAACCATTAGGAGAAATTACAGTGAAGGGTGAACTGAGGCATGAAGATGTCATGTTATGTATACTTTTGAATTTAAAGCTACTCTGTCACTTTAAGATAAAAAATGATGCTGACTGGTATAAAAATGCAGGCACCCAGCAACTTTCAGTACCCCCCAGTACCTATCAGCTGGTGAGGCAGCCCATCAGTGCCATTAGGAAAGGGGATGGTCAATGGTCTGGGGGACCTACCTAGATCCGGTACTACCTGTTAGTTTTGTCAGACTGGCTCATGCAAAGCAGGGGGTACTGTGGAAAAAGCAGGGGTACTAAAAACTGTTGCAGTTGCATATATTATTCCACATTAACAGTTTAATTTAAACTTTGCTATGTGTGATACCTATGAGATACTTTTTTTATAAATACTTGGAAATATACTTTTTTCTTGATGTCACCTAGGCAACAAAAAAACAAATAAAAAAATACATATATATTGGTCATTCAAAGTATAGAAGCATAACTGCCAGCTAAGTTTATGATCAAATGTGAAATGAAGAATTTTGATATAAACCGCTTAAGCAGTATTTGATACCATGTCGTAACAAGAGCACTTACTGTTAAACACAATCCTATTTAAAATGCATTTGAATGTCTTTACGTCAGCACTGATAGTAATTTAATGATTGAATACCGTCAATATAATTTTTAAATGTATAAAATATCCTGCTTTTCAGCATGATATGACCTAGTCACGTTCTAAGCATTACCATTCTGATGCTGGTACATAGCACACATTGTTTATAGTAAACAGTGAAGCATGGGATTTATTAATATAATACTAAATCAATAATCATCTCACATCAAATGTTATACCCACTGAATAACAGACAGTAAAGTCAATACACAGGAAAAAAGATTGGGGTATTTTCCAGGAATCAGTTGGGTGAAATTCTGCACTGCAGAAAGTAACTGGAGACATTTACTGAATTAGCAGCTAGCAAATTAAATTGTGTCCCGATCTTGAAATGAATAATACCTCTGGGAGATAAGCGATACAATATTTTCATACATGTTTCCATACGATGGAACATATTCAAGAGTGTTTAGAGAAGTGATGTAGAATGCCAAATATACAATGTACTTTTGGTTGTCTATAGGTTCACTAATCATCGTATTTTTCTTGATATAAGATTTATCAAACTATAGAAGGAAAAAAAGTGGCTGGAGAAAGGTTATATTTATATAAAAATCTCTACTTTGTTATGGTGTGTATATACAGTATATATACATGGTGTACAAAATCTATTGCAGTTGCTCATCTCAGTATAAATGTAACTATTACTACACTCAACATTTATTAGAAAATGTAGTTAATAATGGACTTATACATTTAGAAACCATTAGATGTTTAGGATTTGCCCATTCGCACAGAGAGCAATATGTGAAGAAGCTTGCTGTAACATTTGGCAAGGCCTCTTTATGTCCAGGTTAAATTTACCTCAGTGGTTCATTATTGAAATGAACAATGGTA